CAAGATACATACTGATAGTAATGCTGCAATAAGAAATATTAACAGAAGCTTAAAACAAGCAGATAGAAGCAAGATTATTAAAAAGAAGAATGCAATATGGATAATGAAGATTAAAGACCTGGTCAAAACAAAAAACATTCAGATAGATCTAGTTAAAGTTAAAAGTTATAGTAAAGATAAGTGGAATAATAGAGCTAATAGTTTAGTAAAGAAGAAAACAATAAATAGGAAAATTGTATAGGCTGAAAAAGTCAGTTGTAAAGAAATAGAGTACTGTCTAAAGTGGAAAAATAGACAAACTGACATATCAGCCAGACTGCTTTGCAAGTTAGTAATGAATGCAAGAATAGAAGCAGAATAGAAAGAAACAAGAGCAGTTAAAAGTTTAAAGCCAGAAGCAGAAATCACAATCTACAATTGGACTTATTTGTGGAAAAAGCTAAAAACAACCAAGAGAATACATTGCACAACAAGTAGAAGTAGTGCAAGAAGAAGTGCTTTCATTAAGTGCATAATAGATAAGCTTCCAATCTTGGAAAAACTTAACAGAAGAAGGCCTAATATATATATAATAGTAGAATGCCAAGTATGCCAAGAAAAAGTAAAAAAAACACAAACACATTTGGCAGCATGCAAAGGGCAAAAAAATCACTGAAAGAGAATTTAAAAGGTAACTATTGCAACAGTATGGAAGAAATTAAAAGAAGAAGAAAAGATCTAAATTCCTCTACATATGTTATATATGGCACTTTTTGGAAAAACAGAAACAAAAGAAGTCAAAATGTGAGAAGCACTAATAAAAGGCCTAATCCCAAAAGAAATGCAAGATAAATTGGCATGGCTTTTAAACTCAAAATCAAGATAGCAATTTGTAAATGCAGTAGCAATAACAGCCTAGAATATATTTTACGAACAAGTATGGAGAATACGTTGCAAAAAAATTATTAAATGAGAGAAAAAGATAGGAATAACAACTAAAATTAAAAGAAAAAAAGATGAAAAGCTGAAGGAACCGACAAAACGAGAAAAGACAAATCAAGAAAGACTAGAAAGGAAAAATGAAGAAATAAGAGAAAAGGGAAAGCAAGTTGAGAAGGAAGTAATGAAAACAATGTTGGGGCTTGTCATGGAAGAGAGAAGACCCTTCTATTATGAACTTTAAGTGTCAAACAAGCAGCTTACTTCTGCTCGAAGTAATGCAGCAGGTTGTACTTAGGTACAGTAAGGTGGCCAGGTGATGCTAAACTTAGATATTAGAGATATTTATATAGTTACAAATATAATTCCAAAAACTTAATAAAGTACTAGCATGACTGCTTATACATTAAAAAAAAAAAAAAAAAATTATATACAACTAAAAAAAACTTTGCTTATTAATGAGTGGTCATTTACAAAAACACTCTCTCCTGTAAATTCCTTGACCAAAATTTCTAAGAAGCAAACTACAAGAAATATGAAAACTGATACTAGGAAATAATATTTGGAGCTTTAAGAAAAGTTAAAGAGCTCCAAAAGTTACACTTAGTTGTTAAAAAAAAAAAAAGGAAAAAAAACTTGGAAAAAGTGCACTGTCAACAAACAACAGTAGAAAAACGAAAATTTTCATCGAAAATTTTGCAAAAATTTTGTAAAAAGTGGGGATTGTCGTTACCTTGTTTCTGCAGATCAGTTTGGTTACACAAAGCAGAAAAATCAAAACAAAGTAAACAAACAGGTACACATAATAGAATAGATGACCAATCTGAAAAACAGATCTAGATAAACAAAGAAGGTTCTAGAAAAAGTGAAATGAAATGACAAAAACAAGTAGCAAAAAGGAAAAGTAAAAAAAAGAAAAAGAAAAAGAAACAAGTAGAAGAAATTAGACAAGTAGAAGAACATGAAAGAGTAGACAAAAACAAAAAAAAAACAGAACCTATAGCAGTGACATTCATCCAAGCAAAAGATTTTTGTTAATTAGCAAGTATTTTGGTAGAATTTTAACAACACAAGAACTAGATAGACTCAAGAAGGTGCATAATCTATGTGTAGAATTAGAGGCAAATGGTGCACTAAGTAAAATGAAAAACTCAATCGAAGCACAGTATGGGCCAATAAGTATGTCAACATTAAAATTTGAAAGAAGACTTGAAGTAGGTTGGAGTAACAGAATGACAGAAATACGTGCTCTAAAGCAAAAACACCATGTAGATGCAATAAAGAAAGAAATTGTTGCAAAATTTCAAAAAGCATTAACAAAAGAAAAAGCCAGGCTTCGAAAGGAAAAAAAGGAAAAAAGAAGAGCTCAAGCACAGCAATCAACACATCAAATGATGAAAAAAGAAATTACAACGAAACAGATTGTAGATAGAAGTAGACAAAAAATATGGAAAGTGCTAGAAGAGCTGAAGGAAGAATCAAGACCGAAAATTAGCTAGAAGAACATTGAGGAAATAGCTATCTTGAGGTTCAAGAACAAGACAAAAAAGGTTACAAGTAAAAGAATATGCAAGAAAAGTAATAAAAGACTATTTGATCAAGAAGCTGAAGAGGCATGAAAAAAAAGGAAAAAGAAAATCGTTAATGCAGATTGGTGGATGCAAAAGAAGAAGAACATAGATAAGTTGCAAACAGAAAAAGAGAAAGTAGAAAGAAGTAATCTAAAGATTCTAATAAAGAAACCTCAAGAGTTTGGCCTATTGCAAGTAAAAGCAAAACCTAGAGAACAAGAGGAAGAAGAACAATTAACAGAAAACAAAAAAGTAATAAAAAAAGGATCATTATAGCAGAACACTCTCTGCTAGAGACAGAAGAAATAGATGTCAAACAAAAAACCAAAGATCAAGAGAAGATAAAAGAAAAGGGAAGATTAGGAAGAGCAAAGACGAAAAGAAAAAGACGAAGCAAAGAAGTATTTGGATGGAAATATCGAAAAAAAAAGAAAAGGTTACAACTAGGAGGGTTTTGTAGAAGTAAATTAGATAGAGTATATAGTCTACTCAATAGAAAGATCACCAAGAGCATAGTGGTTAAAGGTTTAGCCCTGACTGCAAGTGTTGGTCACAACCATAGCATAGCTCAGATGATC